GTCCTGTTAGCAGCGTGGTCCTGTTAGCAGTGTGGTACTGTTAGCAACGTAGTTCTGTAATCAGTGTAGGTCCTGTTTGCAGCGTGGTACTACTAACACTGTGATCCTGTTAACAGTGTGGTTCTGATAGCAGTGTGGTCCTGTTAGCAATGTGGTATTGTTAACAGCGTGGTCCTGTTAGCAATGTGGTCCTGTTAGCAGTGTGGTTCTGTTAGCAATATGATTCTTTTAGCAATGTGGTTCTGTTAGCAGCGTGGTCTTGTTAGCTGTGTGGTCTTGTTTTCAGCATGGTACTACTAGCACTGTGGTCCTGTTAGCAGCATGGTTCTGTTAGCAGCATGGTCTTATTGGCAGCATGGTATTGTTACAAGTGTGGTCCTGTTAGCAGCATGATGATAGTAACGACCGGACAACGGACAATGAGTGTCCAACCGGAAATGGAGGGCGGTCATCAGCATTTGTTGTAGCTTACAGACAAAAAAGTTATTTCTTGTTATTTCCACTTTCAAAAACATATAATGCAACTTTAAAACCGATTCCCAGCCGTTTTTCACACTTGATGGGAACAGAGGGGCCTCGTCTGTGAATTAGATGAACAAAGACCTACTGTTAAGGTGTTTAGGTGTGAACTGCCAATCTACTTATGTGTGTGTGTGTCTTATGTGTGTGTGTGTCTTATCTCACTCAGCCTTATAACCTGAATCTCTCACTCTCTGCTCTTTGAATTGAGAAAGCTCCTCGGATGAGGAGCGAAACGTCTTCTGTTACAAATAAAGTCCAGTTGTTTTTGTATTGAACACTTTTTGAATTCATCATGTCCTGGATGACTGAGACTCTTCACCAGCTTATTTCTTGTAAATCACAATTTCACAAGTATTCAGCTTTAAAAGATGTTTTTAATGTTTTATATTTTTATTTTCATCTATGCAAACTTTAAAATGTCCAAAACATCCCTTTAAAAATAACTCTAGATAAAAAGAACAGCTAAAAATTGTACACATTAACAGAACAGTCAGATAAGTTTGTACAGATGTGATAACAGCGACACCAGCCAGCATCAGAGTACCATCTAAACAAGGAAACATGCAGACAGTCGTCTCTTGACAGAATGACCTCTACTGCTGACAGATGTCTGTAGACCAAAATATTTGATCATAGTGAGCAATAGAGTATATTTCTCTAAACACGACCACTTTTTTTTACTTTATTTTTAAGGTGATCCTTTAAAGTTTCCAATTCCAACCACTGTGGCCGCAATTACAGTATTAAAAGTGATCAAATTGCCTGTTATCAGTTATGCTTTGCTAGTTGAAGCTGAAAACGATGATTTGTTGCTTTGTTTGTTGTTAGGGCCAGGCGATGTCTCACACCGTCACATCTCAGCACAGCTCTGCCAAGGTGGACGGGCTGAGGGCGGCCACGCCGTACGTGGTGCAAGTCAGAGCTCGCACCGTCGCAGGATACGGACGTTATAGCAACCCTATGGACTTCAGCACCAGCCTGCACAGTACGGACTAATCCTCCCTGCTCACAGTCGGTTCTTGACGATCTGCTGCAGTATTTTAGCATTTTTGCTGCACTGGTTTTCTTAATGATGGTTCAGACTGAACGGCTTTTAGTGGACATCATGCATGCAGCACAGTGCACCTTTGATTTTCTTACCATTATTTGTTCATGTGTGTGTGCATGTCTGGTCCAGGTGACCCTCAGAAGTCGGTGCAAGACCAGCTGCCTCTCATCATCGGCTCGGCGTCCGCAGGTCTGGTGGTCGTTGTTGCCTTGGTGGTTATCGCTATTGTCTGCCTTAAGTAAGTGTTTGATTTACACCCTGACAACCTGAACTGCATGTTTCACCGTGTTAATTAGACTTTGAACAAAGAGGCTCATTAAAGTTTAAGAAGATTTCAAAGGGTGGGCGCTTTGAGCCACTTTAGCTGCGTTAGCTCCAAAGGGGAGCTCAGTATGAGGGAAAACAGAGCTGGTCTTCCTTGGCTTTTCTTTACACCCTGCTCTGTTGTTAAAATTTGTTTTATCTGTTATTTCTCTATCTGTTAGTTAAATATCTCATAAACCACTAGATTAATTTAAATGAAACACTTAAAAAGTAACCATTAGATGTACATGTTGGCGCAAATCCAATTCAACTGCCCATAGGAAACACAAAAATGACTTTTACTCAGCAAGTTTTATAGATTTGGAGCTAAACTTTGTTGTGTTGGTAGCTGAGAGTCATCCCCGCAACATACGCTGAGCACTGACTGATCACGCAAGATGTGCTTTAAAAACTTTAACATTAACTATTGGAGTCAGCTTTGTCTGTTGGCAAAATATCTCATGACTCGATGGACACAGATGGATTTCAATGAAACTTATAGAAAATAGTTCATCTATAACTGATTGACCTTTGAAGTCTAGTTCAAAAATGGCCACCACAGCTAAGCAACCTTAGCCAATAAAAAATGACCATAACTCATTTGAATTTACAGACACTGATCTAAAATGTGTTGTGGTAGTGGCTGAGAGTCATCCCCAGCACATACTCTGAACACAGAAAGGTTTGTGAATTTCACATACTGTAGGAGCATTTACAAAAAGAAAGAGCATGCAGTGGGTGCTGTGCATTTGTTTTTAATACTGGAGATGGGTTAATGCTCGTGGGAAGGCCTCGGCTGATGATGTGAATGTGACTTTTCTCATGTGCTTCTTGTCTACAGGAAGCAGCGCAGCGGGTCGGAGCTGGAGTACACGGAGAAACTTCAGCAGTACAGTGAGTTTGTGTGTTCACCTCCTGCTCCTCATGCCAGCACAGAAAACTGAATTTAATCTGTCTTACAATCACCTGTTTGAGCTCAGCGTTTGCTTTCTGCTAGATCAAAAGAAGGTGGACCACACCAAGGAGCTGTTGAATAAAAAAATAACATACAGCAAGGAAATGCTTTTAGTATAGGAGAAACAAATTAAAAACTTTTCCTTAACTATCTATCCCTCAGTGTACAGTTTACTGAAATGTTGGAATTATTACATAAACACACGTATTAATATTAAATCATTTTTGCTTCCACGGAGAGTTAACTGCTCAAAAACATCATGTTGATTACACGTAGCAGCAGTCTCCAGCCATGCTGTGAGGTTGTAATTATGTGTAGAGCTGCTTTAAGTTAAACACTGACACCAGTTTGCAAACATTCTAATGTCTGACAACATTTGTATTTGTACACATTTCATTTTACCAAATTTTTATTTTATTTATTTTTTTCAGCATTTTTATCATGCTGTCGTAGATTACCAAGCATCAAAACAACCAGCTGGATGTGATTTTGTAGACGTTGGAAACTAAACTGATGGTTGTAAACTAATGGGGGCCTTAAATTTGTGCTTGAATCGAGAACAGCGTTTTACTGGAACGGCCTGCGGCAGTTCACGCAGTAACTGTTGACGCTGTTTAGTTTATTAATGCTAGAAGAATGTCTTGCCTCTGGAAAACTGTTTCCAGTTGTCTCTGTCTACGTTTACACAACCAACATTGGAGATCTTTCATTTTTCTCCTGTAGTTTCCCCCGGAGTCAAAGTTTACATCGACCCCTTCACTTACGAAGACCCCAACGACGCCATTCATGAGTTTGCCAAAGAGATCGACATCTCTTGTGTGAAGATAGAGGAAGTCATCGGAGCAGGTAAACATCGACCGTGGTCATTTAAATGACAGACATTTGTACCATCGTCTCACTTTGAAGGGTTTGCTTTACATTTTTATAATGAAGCCACCTTATTCCTAGCCCCCATGCTGCCTTGCGTTAATTATAGGTGCAACTTCCAGTGCGGACCGAAACCGGCATTATGTATGAACAGTACGAGCTAATGTAGTTTCTCAGAGCATTGTGGGTTTAATTTAAACATGTAAGAACCTGTCAGAGCTCAAACAGGACAATATAATCATACCGCTGCCTGCTGAGGATGAGGGGTGAGGGAGGACAAGCTGAAGAAGTGGCTACAAATTACATCTACTAGCATATTTAGCTACTTTTACTAGCATATTTAGCTACTTCATTGACTCTGTTCTTCTGACGGTGAAGTGATGAACAACCTGAAAAGCTCTGAGGTGTATCAGTATCTACACAGTAATAAAGTCAGTCGTGTTTTGTTAAAAGATGTCGGACACAATCTTATTAACTTTAAATCAGACACAGAGCAGCCAAAGCCTTAAAGTTCTCCATCACTGAGCTTGGGTTAATTACAGATAAAATCATTAAACTGAAGATGAACAAATACTTTAATGCTGCTGTTTCCTTCATACACTTGAAATCATACCTGAAATTGTCGTCACTGTTTTCAATCCTTCTGAGGATCCAGCGTCTCTTCTCCGGTGGTTTATTGTCCAGACACAAAGTAGGATGCAGGTTTTCCTCCGTCGGCCGTTTGTCAACAAAGTGAAATGAACAGAGAGAGTTTTGGGTGGTCTCTTCAAGTTCACATTTTTCAGCCACGTTCTTCTTAACTCCTCATCTGTAGGTGGGAGATGGAAACTAAACCTCTTTTCACAGGAACACTCTTTGTTTTGTGTTCGTGTTCAAAACTCTGTTGTTGTAGCACGGGTTTAGTTTGGTCTGGTTGTTCTGCAGCCGTGAACACAACAGGTACCTGAACTCAGCACGGCTATTTTAGTAAACGTTAGAGTAGAGGTTTAACTTTAGCTAATGTACAGTTTAATCACTCTGGTGTGTTGTTTTTGAGAAGGAATTGTTTTATAATACTGAAAAACTATTGGATATTTGGCTAACAGTTACCATAGCCTGGAGGAAGAGTTCTGCCGTTCTTTATTCCACCCTCTTTGACAGTTGTTACGGCTGATAAGGTGCAGAACATCACTTCAAAAAGGATCAGACTCTCTCTTTAAGATGCTGTGAGAGGGCCAAACTCTCAGAAGGTGCATTATATGTGGGAAGTACTCATGTGACTATTTATGTTTCCTCTCTAGATTCAAAATGTGTTTTGTTTGTTTTTGTCCTCTCCAGCAGCATGTTGTGTCCAACCTTCACCTTCAATGATAGTCTGGTCCTGCTTGTTCAACTTTCATCCCCTCCTATCTTTTTTTTCTCTTTCTCTTTCTCTCCTTGTAAACACGTCGTGTACTCAGACACCAAATGCAAAACCCTCAAGTATTTTGCCCGTCCTCTGTCTCCGTGCACTGCTCCCAGGTTCCACACTCGATCCATACCGGTCACTCCATCTCTGCCCAACCTCTTCGACCCCTGACCCTGCACCCCCACAGTTCTTGTCATTTCCTCTCTTCTCTGAATTTGTCCCACAGTTAAAGCCGGCCCTCAGTTTTTTCAACTAAGCTCCTTCACTCCCAAATCCGACCAGTAATGCTCCCTCTCCTTGCATTTTGCCCTTCCTCTTCTTCCCCTTGCTCACTCAACCCCTTCCATCACCCTCCTCCCCCCCTCCCACCACCTTGTTCTCTCACCCCAGGTGAATTTGGGGAGGTGTGCCGCGGTCGGGTCAAGCAGCCCGGGCGCAGGGAGATGGTGGTGGCGATCAAGACGCTGAAGGCGGGCTACACAGAGCGCCAGAGGAGGGACTTCCTGGCAGAAGCCTCCATCATGGGCCAGTTCGATCACCCCAACGTAATTCGACTGGAGGGCGTCCTGACCCGAAGCTGTCCCGTCCTCATCATCACCGAGTTTATGGAAAACGGAGCACTGGATTCCTTCCTCAGGGTGAGTTTGTGGAAGGACGTGCCACTTGTTGCACCTCTGACAGGGAAGATTTCTATTGCTTCCTGTTGATATCAAAGCTGAGAGGAACGCACACAGACACTCAGCCGCTGCACCTTTGGGTTATCACAATGTTTTACTTTGTGTAAAAACGCCCTGAGGCGCTTTTTCGCTGAACGGTAGAGATTAAATGTGCAGCGGAGCGCTCGGAGACAGGCGTCTTTAGTTGATGTAACTGAGTGATGTTGACAGGCTTTCCGTTGTACAACCTCCTGGTGGAAAACTTGTCGCGCGCAGACCTTTGGATGAGTTGGTATTACAGAGTTCTTGTACAACCACAGAATACATTACCCTCAGAGCTCCTGTTCAGACCAAACCACCGGCACAAAGTGCTGAACAAAGATGAGTAATGAGAAGATGTCACAAAGTGCGTTTTCAGCTGCGTGGGAGCTTCTATGTGTAATTTACAGTCAGTAAAACGTGTTTTCATGCGTGGCTGCATTGTGGAGCAGTCTACTTGCTGGAGCTGTGAGACTAGAGGAGGTAATTTCACTCAAACTAGACCTCAGTGCTGTTTGGAGTAATAGCTGGCTCCAGATCTAGAATGTTTTCTCTAATTCTGAAGAGTGTCGTCATAAATTAATCTGTAATATTATTCAGTTTCAGTAGGTTTTTTTTTTTTAAACAAGTAAAAAGATTCCATTTTACTGCATTTTCTCTCTTTTATGTTTACATCGTCCAATTATAAGATATTTACACGTTTCTTATTTGGTTTTATCTTTTTATATTAAATGTCTTTGACCTTAACTGATAGATATAAAAACTGTCATGGAGAAATTAAAGATCTAAAATATCTTATACGCACTGGAAAACACACAACACTCTATGTTCATAGAGAATAAAATACACATTTTTAATATTTAATGATTTCATGAATGAATTAAATAGTAGCAATGCATAAAGGCATGAACAGTCTTAGATTACATCTTGGATTGGTTTAGTACATTGTAGATTAAAAAAACAAACAAGTCCTTAAATATTTCTGGTGCTTCAAAGAAAAACGTTGATGATGTTGGAATTCTGGTCTGCACGGACACGTCAAGATGTTTTTGTCTGTTATCGTCTGAACAGAGGAGGTGATGAGCTTTTGTCTCATTCAGAGGAAATCAATCTGGTCTTTTTTTAGTTTACAAGTTTCAGCTCGTCCACGTGAAACAGGATGTTTCTGTAAAAAGAAAAAGGAGCTGTGCACACTCTTGCAGCCCCAAGTATTGCGGCCTCATTGAAAATAAACATGTATCCTCAAGTTTTCTGTTGGAGCCAATAAATGCCCACAAATACTGTGATACAGGTTCAGATGAGAAATCAAAGGTTTGGTTTTATTACTTAAACCCAAGCAGGTGTTAAAAGAGTTAATACAAAATAATATTATACGTTGAGTGAATGTTTTAGTTTATCAACACAGGGAATTTTTTTAAGCGTTTCTCAAGGTGCCCAGTTATTTTTAAGTCTTTTATCTGTACGTAATCAGGTTATTTTTATTTTGACTCAGATTTACATTTGTCTGTTTTTCATTGGAAAGCACCTCATGTGGACAGTCATTTACAGAAGTCCCTCGATTATCATGGGGATTATGTTCCACACACCCTGGCGATAGGTGAAAAACTGTGAAGTAGGAACTCTATATTTATTTTAGTATTTATAAATATTTTAAGGCTTTATAAACCCTTCCCACACTATTATAATGTTCTAAACTCTTGAACCTACGTCATTTTAACAACAGACGTATATGTACTGTACAGTACTGCAAAGTTTTACTCAGCAGCTCTGCAGACCAGCAGCTTGGTTCCGGTCGGGCTCGGTTCAGGTTCTGCAGACCTACGCTGCATAATGAAGCCCACCGCCCCGTACAGGTTGATGTGCACGTGGGTAATATAGCTTCAGGATTATTTGTGACTTTCCTGCCAGTTTTGTGAGCTTCATAGATCGATCGTTACTTCGGGCTTTGCGTTGCAAAACTTTCCCTCCATTTCAGCAGAAAGCAGCATCCAGAAGCACTGTTGACTTCTGGGTAGTGTAGTTCTTTTGACTGGAGTTACATTGTAGGCTTATTGAAAGAAAACTACAAAAAGGCGGCGTCTGTCCGAAGTATTTTTTTTTCCGTTAACTTTTTATCCCGTACTGTCCCATTCACGTGAGTAATAGTAAAGTTGGCAATCATTGAAAAGCCATGAAAGAGTGAGTCCACGAATGTCGAACCGCTAAGTAGCGAGGGACTACTGTATACTGACAGTCTGAAATGTGAATCATTGGTAATCAGACAATGAACTAAATGTCTCTCCCTCAAAGATGAAACCAGCTTTTAGAAATGTTAGTTCTTACATCAAAGTTCATGCTCAATAATTCAGGTAAAAAAGGACTTCTTCAGTCCAAGGAGCCACAACAAACGCAGTCTTGTACAAATAGCACCTTCACATAGTGGTTCAACCAGTTTGATGGTGATGAGATGGTTTCTGGAGCCCACCCTTGACTCCTCTGAGGCAGCCATGTCCACAGGCGACCATCAAACTGGTTGAACCACTATGTGAGTGTGCTGTTTATAAGACTGAGTTTCTTGTGGCTCCTCGGACTGATGAAGTCCTTTGGATGAAAGACGAAAAGTTTCAACACAAAGAAACCGTCCAGTGGACCTGATTTAACTTTGTTGGGTTAGTTCTTACAGTTCCCTGAGCCAGTAAATTGGACTTAAACTCATTAGCTGTAGCTCTGTAGGAGTCCAGCCTGAACTTCTTTCATCCTTCTCACTCACTCCTCTCAGCCAGCTGTCACAAATAGCAGAAGAAGAAAAAACGGCCGGGTCTGTGCACTCCTCACCCCCTCCCTCCGGTGTCACACTGCCTATGACTCAAAGGAACTGGAGTTCTACTCTAATGAGGAAACGACTGCGTTAACACACACGCACATGCACAGTTACTGTCTGAACGCATCACATATGAAAATAGGAACTTCAGGTCCCTGGAGATATGTTTTTTTATTACACACATGGTCTGTGCACATGTAGAAGCTTTCCAAAGATACAAAAATAACCCCCGTCCACTTTATGGGGGTGTGGGTTCGAAGGCCTGCAGTGAATCATGGCTGTTTATATACATCCATCCATCCTGGCCTGTTGGGCTGTCCCTCTTCAGTGGAGTGTGCAAACTACAAAGCAGAACCTTCACAGTTTTTTATGGTCACACCTTTTGGGTTTTGTTCTTTTTTACTGTGGAGTCAAAGAAGGCGCAATTGTGTAAAAAAAACCAACTAATTTTTCTTTTAATGAATTATTCAGGGCACAAGATAAAAGCATGCTGTGCAGCTGGATTCAATTCTGCAGAAAATTCTACCCGGTTTTTAATTGTTTATTGACGTTGCATTGATTGGTTCCAGCTTTGCCACGAACAGGTCAGGAGCCTCCACAGGTTGGGGGGGGGGGGGGGGGGGGGGCGCACTGATTTATTATAATCTTCAGTTTGTGACACGCTTCTCGAATGTGGAGAATTGTAAAATGAACCCTGAAAACCCCAGTCAAAGATTGGTTTCATGCTTCTCAAACACTAACAAAAGAGGGCCAAAATAACTGCTCATAAAGTTTCCTTGAAGGAGTAGAGTTTTAAACCAAGATCATCTTATGATGATGATGATTATGATGATGATGAAGGGACAGGGTTACAGCTGTTTGGGTTCAACCATGAAAGGTGCTCTTCTGCTCAATGTGTTAGCATTCAGAGTATGTGTTGAAGAAGACTTTCAGCTACTACCACATCAAGCTTCAGCTCAACATCTGTAAACCTGACAGAGTTTTAGCTGTTTTTGTCGGCTAGGTTTGACAGCCCTCATCTATGGTCATGAGCTTTGGGTTGTGACTGAAAGAACGAGATCACAGATAAAAGTGGCTGAAATGAGTTTTCTCCGCAGGGTGTCTGGGCTTAGAGATAGGGTGAGAAGCTCGATCATCTGGGAGGGACTCAGAGTAGAGCCGCTGCTTCTCCACGTCAAGAGGAGCCAGTTGAGGTGGCTCGGGCATCTGGTTAGGATGCCTCCTGGACGCCTCCCTGGTGAGGTGTTCCGGACACGTCCCACCGGGAGGAGACCCAGAGGAAGACCCAGGACACGCTGGAGGGACTATGTTTCTCGGCTGACCTGGGAACGCCTCGGGATTCCCCCAGAGGAGCTGGACCAAGTGGCTGGGGAGAGGGAAGTCTGGGCCTCCCTACTTAAGCTGCTACTCCCGCGACCCGACCCCAGATAAGCAGAAGAAAATGGATGGATGGATGGATGGTTTGACAGCCATCTTTAATCAGTTTGACTCAAATAATTGTAGATGTATATCCAATAATTTGGGAGTTTCATTCAGTTATATTCAGTGGTTCACACGATATTTTGCTAACAGGGTTGACAAACAGTGCCGAAGTTTTAAGCAAACATTTATATTATACTATGAATTAGTCTCAGCTACTACCACATCAAGTTTTAGCTAATTCTTGAAACAGTTAACTGGATTATATCCATTTTTTTCTTTGATATGGTAAGTTGTGGTGGCCATCTTAAGGCAGGTTGGCTCCAAATATTAATCCATGTAGAGCTACATTCATTGATTACATTTTAAGAGTTTCATTACAATCTGTCCAGTGGTTCATGAGAAAATTTGCTAACAAAAAGTCTGATTTGACTAAAGGCAAAATTTAAAAACAGCTATCATGCCATTACTCAAAGTAAAGTTGGAGAGTACTCTCAGCTGCCAGCACACCGAAGTTAAGCCCAGATTCTGTGAAATTCAGAGTTATAGCCATATTTGAGTTTATTAAAGTTGCTTAGCTGTGGTAGCCATCTTTAATGGATCCATCCATCCATTATCTTTACCTGCTTCTTCCTTTTTAGGTCGCAGGGGTCACTGGTGCCCATATTCATATGAGAGAGGTGGGGGACACCCTGGACAGGTTTCAAGTCCATCACAGGGACACATAGAGACAAAGGAGACAAACAACCATTCACTCTCTCACTCATGCCTGGGGACAATTTAGGGCAGGAGCGGGCAACCTTTTTTTTCCCCAATTAGCCAAATCAAGACATTTAAAGTAATTAAAGGGCTGCACAGAAAATTGGAAAATACATTTTCTTTAAGACTGATAATTAAAGTTTTTTCAGGCTTTGTGTAAACAGGCTCTTCTGACAATACATTTGTTTTACTGTATATATAAGCAACAACTTAAGAAATAAGTTGTAGGCAATATTAATCCAAATTTTATTTTTATATGTATTTGTATACAAGATGTTTAATTTGGACTTCCTTAAGTTTCATTGAATAACTGCTTGTGCGCATCATCTTATTAAACGTTGTTGCTCTTGTCCTTTAAGAATCATGGGGGTCGGATGGTGATTTCCCTTGGGCCACTTTTGGCCCGTGGGCCACATGTTGCCCACATCTGATTTAGAGTTACCAATCAGTCTAACATGCATGTTTTTGGTCTGTGGGAGGAAACCAGAGTATCCGGAGCATGCACGGAGAAAACATGCAAACTCCACCCAGAAAGGCCCCTGGCCGGGATTTGAACCAGCGACCTACTCGCTGAGAGGCAACAGTTCTACCAACTGAGCCACCGTGCTGCCATCTTAAACTGAATTGATCCTAAAAGTTAATCACTGATTAATGTTCATTCAATGATTACTTTATCAAATTACCCAAAAAAGTTCAATCTGGTCCTCTGGACATCAATGTCCAGAGGACCAGATTTAACTTTTTTGGATTTTCTACTTGGATTATTGAGCATGCATCAGGATATTTATCAAATTACATTAAAACCTGTCCAGTGGTTCATACAACATTTTGCTAACAGACAGCATCAACCCCCAGCCTTCAGCTTTAGGTCTATTAGAGAAGTATTAGAATATTAGAATTAGTGTTAGTCAAGTCAAATTTATTTGTATAGCACATTTAAAACACAAACTGTTACCAAGTATTAGTATTAGAAGGATTAGAGATCTCTAATTAAAGAACTTTGTTTTTGAAAATAAAAAAATGTAGTTTGGTCGACGGCTGCTTTTGTTGTAATATTCATGAGAAATAAATGCAAACAGCAACTTTTTCTTTGAAAATATCTCCAGGTAAAGTCAGTTCCTGCGACTAACTTACTGACTTGTGTCAGAAAATAAGAGACGTGGTAATTCTTTGAAGTCAGAGTTTCAGCTCGCTCCTAGTTTCTGTGTGAAGTCAGGTTTGAACGTTTACTACAACGATCCAAAGTCTAATTAAACTGTTAGCGTGCTCCATAAAGGTCAGCTGTCAGTGAGTGTCAGCAGCAGCTGGGAAGGATTTTGACAGATGTCCTGTTTATGTGGCCTCACTGACTGATCACTTCCCTCCAACACACACACACACACACACACACACACACACACACACACACACACA